GAATTCTAAATGGATTACACAACTTAGGGCATTTAAAGCCATCTCCACTTCTGAATTGGTTTAACTACAGCCAGAAATTCTTAAATGCTTTAATTTCTTTAATAAGCAACAGCCCCTGAGAGTCATTTGGACTGTTCTTTCATTTTGCCCTTGATACTTGCACTTGAGGGAGAGGAGCAGAGCCTTAAAATGCAATCCATACAGAAAGCTGCTTAATGGAGATTCCAAATTATAACTCCAAAATGCAGCTCCAGAACAACCACAGCTCTCTGCAGCATTTATTACACACAGACTGCAACTAAAAAAATCCTCAAAGCCTTCCCAGGCTGGGAGAGCTCACTGAGCCATTGTGCAGAGCGTGAGGCAATCCAGGATCTCAGCCAGGCTCCAAAAGGATCCCTTGGAGAAATTCCTGCTCAGAACTGCAGCACAGGGAGCACCTGTGAGGTTTCTTCTTTCCACCACTCCTGGGCCAGATTGGGCAAAATCTGCTTCAGTAGTTCTAAATGTGCTTTAAAGGTGGAAATGCTGCCATTTCAACTGTGCTTTAAAGGTGGAAACGCTGCAGATCTCTCTGCTAAAACCCAGTTTTTTTTCTGCTGCACCAAACTATAAAACTTTTGTCTGACAGAAAAACGGCTGCTGCTTATGAGCACGTTTTAAATTGCTGTACTTCAAAGTGACAGCGGCACAGGATGTTTTAAAATATTTCCCCCATTCTAAAATGATGCCATTAAATCACAGTGAAGTACCTGTGTAAAATCTCAAAATTAATACTTTATTACAGTATTTGTAATAAAAAGTACACACACATTTGCATTCCCCAGTGTTTCAATTGCTAATGGGCATTCCAGAGAGATGCCTGCACCATCAGAAGCATATGCCTGCAAATTAATGAAATAAATTCCAATGTCCAAGTAAGTGACAAATCAGTGCTGTGATATTGGTATTTTTCAGTTCACTGCACAGACCTAATTCACCCCACAAGGCACCTTTCACTTCATTTTACTTTCAACTCCACTTTCAAAGAACTATCAGGTGGCACACCTTGATGTCAGGCAAAGAACTTGGTGTGTTAAGTGCTCAAAAAACCCCTCATTATTACTGAAAGAGACTAAAAAATACAGATTTTATATAATATATATCCCCCTTTCCCAGTTAATCTCAATTTGCACAGGGCAGGGGGTGCCACTGCTGGCAGACCAAGCAGGAACAGCTACATCAGGACTGTGATATCCAACAGATAAGGACAGAGCTGTGGCTTATTTTGATATTATTTACAGGCAAAATGGTTAAATCACAAACTGGGATGTAAAACTGCTCCTCTTAGTATCTAAACTGAAGTTCCTGTTATAAAACACATGGCTAACTTATTGTAATCATCTTCATTTTGTGTGTCACCTATTTCACTTTTATGATTTCTGAGAGGCTTGACACTCAGGTGAGCCTTAACTTTAAAAATATATTTATTTTCTGAGTGATTAAAAGTATACTTTTAACCACACAGCTGTCTAGAAATATCTGACTTATAAGATAAACCAAGGTACCTCTTGGATTTGTTTGGAAATTTGGCTGAAGCCCAAAAGGGGATGGGAATTTTTCAGGTCTTTAATAAAAAGCTGAGGTTATAAAGTGCTAAGAGCAAATACCATGAAAAGCAGCAAGAGGGATAAAAAGTGAAGTGAAGAAGGCGGGAATGCGCCAACAGGAATGGGGCTGGCTCCAAAGGACAGGAGAAAAGGAGGGAAAAAAAAAAGAAGGGAAAAAAGAAAAGAAGGGAAAAAAAATAAAAGGGGAAAAGAAAGAAAGGGGAGGGAAAGAAAGGGGGGAAAAAGAAAGGGGAGAAAAAGAAAGGGGGGGAAAAAGAAAGGGAAAAAAAAAAGGAAGGGAAAAAAAAGAAAGGGGAAAAAAAAGAAAGGGGGAAAAAAAAGAAAGGGGAAAAAAAAGAAAGGGGAAAAAAAAGAAAGGGGAAAAAATGAAAGGGGAAAAAAAAGAAAGGGGAAAAAAAAGAAAGGGGAAAAAATGAAAGGGGAAAAAAATAAAAGGGGAAAAAAATAAAAGGGGAAAAAGGAAATCACTGTCATCAAACAACGCACTGCATCACAGCCTTGTGAGTTTTGATTGGTTTTCCTTTCACAATCTGCTTCCAGGATAAGAAATGCTTTTCCAATGATCTCTTGATAGTTAATCACTTTGACCTCTGCTTGTATTTTCCTGAATAAAACTGTCTCCTAATTTATTTTTACTTTTCATAAAGCTGCAGGTTGATCTTCCATCTTTAAAACGATCAACTATTTTATTGTACCTAATATCAGATTATTGAAGATTTTAGTACATGCATGGGGAGTTCATCTAATCCCATTGACCTTTTCATATTAAAATCCAGTTTTATGCTTTATCTGCTCTTTGTTAAAAAGTAAAAAAACAAAATCAGCTGTTGTTCAGATGCTGGTTCTTTATTCTTATATGAAAATTAAGCTGAACAGGATTTTTTTCCTTGACATGGAGGTGAGAATATGCAGCCAAGACTGAAAAGACATTGCAGATGGCAAGGGCAGCATTTGGAAGGTCCTGCACAGCCCAGACCACGAGTCCTGACTAAAAACTACCACATGCATCTCCAGCAATGACACTCACCTGCCCAGCTCACACCTCCTTAGTTAAAATTCACGCAGAGATAATATTTGCTGGTAGATTCCTTCCTATTTTATGAATAACTGATGCCAGCATCATCCTCATATCCAGCCAATTTATTCCAAAAGAGGCATCTCACAGGAAAAACAAACCCAACTGTCCGTCCCCAAAAGCACTGGTTTATAAAACACCAAACAATAAATATTTGGAAGTGCAAATCTCCTCCATGCAAAGCACCTCAGACTCCTGCACAGGAACAGCTCCAGTGTGGCAGAGCAGATGAACTTTGCAATTACCCAACCCCAGCAGCACCACGGGGAGCAGTTGAAGCCACTTGCACAAATCCCATTTATTCTGCCAAAAATCTGCCTTGCTCCAGAAAGCAAAGGAGGGCTCAAAGAGAAGCTTTGGTCATTAAAAACAAACAGCAATTTATGCTCTGCTAGGAGTCAGTGCTGTTCGTAGGAAATGCAGCTTTTATCTCACAGAATGAAATTTAACTGCAATAAAATCTTTTTCATATGTATCCTCACCATCAGAATTATGAGAGGCTTTGCTCCCATTAATATGCTTTCTGTGCTTAGGATGCTACAGCTTAACTAAACTTTACTGACTCTTCCAGTTTAATTCCTCAAGTCAACTTACAGAACATCAGAGGCTTTGAATCAAACTGCAAAAATCTCAAAGCTGCAAGGTCAAGTGTCACCCACAGAAGAAAACTCATAAAAGATCATCAAAAGTGCCTGGTAAACCAGAAGACTTTACAAAGAAAAGAAGAAAAAGATGAAAAGTCACCTCGAGAAAAGAATTATCAAGTGGGGGAAAACATTTTTGGAATTTAGATAAGATGCCAAACTGCTACTTGCATAAATAACTTAATTAATATGTTAGCCCACAGAATCACAGAACGTCCTGAGCTGGCAAGGACTCACAAGGACCTCTGAGCCCTGCACAGACTCCCCAAAAATCCCAGAGCAGGACTCAGGCCAATGAACCATCCTGCAGCAAAGTGAGGCAGGGACACATCTAACCAACAGAAATAAAACACAGATTGTATGCAGGAAAAAACATGGAAAAGTGCAGGCAAAATTTGAGAAACAGCAAAAAAAGTATGATGAAGACAGACAAAAAAAATGTGAAGAAGTGGAAGTGAGAGGTGAAACCATGGCAGAGCTGGGCTGATGGATGAACTGCCCCAGGTCCCTGGGGACACAGGAGCTCCCAGCAGGCAGACAGCACTGATGGCCTAATTAATAAACATCCAACAGCTAATCACTGCATGAGGAGAGACATTGACTGATAGCACTGCAGGAAGGGAGACAAAAACTTCCTGCAGAAAACCTGGACAGGGCTGTGCAAACGGGCATCCAACTCCTTCTCCCCTCTGCTTTCCTTCATTTTCTTGCGCTTACCCAGGTATTTATATTTATATTTATATTTATATTTATATTTATATTTATATTCATATTCATATTTTCTGATTAAATTAATCAATTAAAAGTTTTGTGTTATCTTCATCTACTTCTGCCTCAGCAGAAAACTCAGCAGCACAGCCTGTGCCACATGAGAACGTGGCCAACAGGTGAACTCAGCCACCACATCCCAGCCTGCCCTGCTGACTGCCCAAAAATAATCATTATTTGTGGCCTGTGCAGCACAACTGAACTGGATCTATTCATAGGCAGCCTGGGATTTTTCCAGAGCATGCTATTTACTTGTATAAATAATAAATATGCACATTTACTATATATATTTTATAACATATATATATTTCATGTATTTCATGTATAAAATATATATATATTTATTTGCATAAATAGCATAGCTGTTTATTTGTTATTCTCTCTCAGGTGAGGAAATGAGGAACTCTGTGTGTGAAGGCTCCTTGCACACTCAGAGCTCACACTTCAGAGGTTTGATGGGACACTCATTACCATCCCTGCACTGCTGGCACAACTCCTGAGCTGTGGCTTTTCAAGTATCACACTACAATTTACTAATAGATTTTATAACACAATTAATAATACATTTAATAAATTTAATAATACAATTGATAATACAATTTATTAATTGTATTATTTTAATACCATTTAAAAATTTTAATACAATTTTGAATACCATTTTAATTTTTAAAAATTTAATTGTATCATAAATGGTATTATTTTCACAGCCCACTACAGAAGAGGAGTTGCTCCATTACTGCTTTTCCCTTTTTTTCCTCAGCTCAATCAATACCAGACAAGCACAATCCACGTGGATTATCAATGCTTACAGGTTACATAATCCCACAATCCCAAATGAAATGCTGGCAGCATTTCATGGCAAAGCCAAACCTGCTACCTTGAGGTGCTCTGCCTGCTGCTCACCTTTGCTCGCACTCTCAACGTGCTGCAGCTCATCCGGGAATTTCAGGATGTCCCTGTAATTCTCCTCACAGATCTCTGCCAGGAAATGCAGCAGGGTGGTTTTCTGATCTGATGATTTTGTATCTCGAATCTAAAACGTGAACACAGGAGAAAGCAAAAATAAAGAAAAAATAAATTCTTAAAACATTTCAATAAAGTGAATATTGCAGACTTCAACTCGTTAGCAAAAAGTTACCTACGTGGGTTGCCTGCAAATAAACAGATTTTAAAAAATTAAATTTCTTGAATTCTTCATAATTTAGGTTTAGAAGAAATCTACCCTAAGATGTATTTTAAGAAATTATGATTAATTTTGATGAGAACAAGATCTGATGTAAAGGTCTGAGATTTGAGCATTGCCAGTTCAGAATCCCCCAGATAAAAAATTGCTGTGTACAGAGATGAAACAGAACTGAAATCAGAGCATTCCTTCAATGCCATAAATGTCAAATCTCTACAGGAATCCCTGAAATTCTGCATGTACACCAAGCTAACAGTCAGAATTTGCATTCTGACCGGTCAAACTAAAGTAACTCCTTGCTGTAAATTCACTATTTTTTCTTGGAGAAAATCTAAGCCATGCTGTGTTAGGCTAAAGACTTGGAGAACAATTCTACAGAGAAACACAAAATAAATGCACCCTGCCTTAGCAGAACACAGAATAACAGAACAGCAAGGCAATCCTGACTGCAGCTGAAGGAATCTAATGCTTCCAGCTGTATTTATGAAAAGCTGCAGGAAAACTCTGCACAATGGGAAGTAACAGGTAAATGAATATTTTTGCTGTTCTTTTGACTGCAGAGGCATTTTTAGTGGTCTGAAACAGACCAGTATTCTTGGAAGTGATAAAACTCTGTTCTCCATTAGCCTGAGTGCATGAACAGCTGAAAGGAGGTTTTTAGTTAAAAAAATAAAAATCTGAACTAATTGTTAGAATATAGGAGCAGTGGCACTTTCCAATACCCTTATGGCTCAATCCCATGGCACAGTGCACATGCCTACACAAAGGAACATGAACTTGAGAGAATGAGAGAACAAATTTAACACCAAATTCCCGAGTTTGCCCATTTTTGTGCTGTGAAGGAGGAATGTGTGGGCTGATGGAAGATCCAGGAGCAGAGATTTATCCACAAAGGCAAGACAGAGTAGGTGCAAGGAAGAGCCTGAGAGGAGCACACTCCACTTGACACAGAATTTGTAATGCATCTGGAAAGAATTGTTTTAACAATATTTTACTCATCTCATACAGTTCTTACACAGAAGTAAGCTACAACATGCACAACAAATGAAATAAAGGATTTATTTAAGAAGAATACATAAATGCTTGTGTAAAATCTCCTATTTGTTTTCTCATTCTCTAAATCACTTGAAGTTCTAATTCTATAATCCTCATGACAGGCTTGCCATCGATGTTCAATTTAATAGAGGCCTTTCAGCTTTAAGGATTACCCTGTTAGGAATAAATGAGTGCAGTGGAAAAACAGGCTTTTAAAAATATAAGGTATTTAGGCAATTAAGAAAGCAATTTAATTCATACCAATTCAGCGATTAAAGACTAAACAATGCTCAGTAATGGTATGCAGTTAAAGGGCTTTCATGTGTTACATACACACAAGTTCTCCTGACTTGAAAAAAATGGTAGATTTACTGGCTAAACATCTGCATGGAAAAAAGAAATTGCATTTCAATTTGTCTGTGAACAACAGTAGTGGGATTTGCAGACTTTGATCTCTCTGACATCATGGAGTGGATAAAGCACTTTTTTTCTAAATGGGCAAAATTATTTTGCTTTCAAATTACAACAGGAATATGTTTTGCCACCAAGAGCAACATCACAATAAGAGTCAGCATTAGCACCTTGTAGTAAAGGTAAACATCTAAATAAATATCTAAAAAACCATTTATTTAGAACTTGAACAAATGTATCAAATTAATTTATTTGGCCCAATCATAAACAAGTCTCTGCTATATTCATCTTTACTTTTAACACAATGGATGCAGATAGGTCTGCTTTAGAATCAATAGATACTTAGAATCAATAGCTGTACTTTAAAAATCAAGTCCTAAGCCCACTCATATAATGAAACTTAAGATAGGTGCTGTTTGAGTGTAGTTTACCACATAATATTTAAATATAAAAATAGAAATGAAAGGTAGGAACTGGACAGGTGGCAGCTTGGTGGTGTCTGTATCACACCCTGTACTTGTATTCAATATACACTCACATTCAATATACACTCACATTCAATATACACTCACATTCAATATACACTCACATTATTTTAACTTTTTACAATAAATGCAATACTTTTTACATTCAGCTTTTTCCTTGCAGTAATTTGCCCAGTAGATGTAACATTCCTTGGCTTGTAAAGAACCCGATGGCTTAGCCTGATTTCTGCTGCTCTACACACTCCAGCCAAGTGGATGGAAAGCAACAAGAGCCATTTAAGTTGTGCTTACAAGAGCAGGGGCTGGATTTGGATGAACCTCGTGGGTCCTTTCCAACTCAGGATATTCTACCATTCTATGATTCAGGATAAATTTTTAACACTGTGGTGTTCAAATTTTAAAATACAGGTTTGGAGTCCAGGGCCTTTCCTTGCCCGGGAGGTGGAATTTGGAAATAAGACATTCAGTTTAAAAATAAATGAAATAAATTGCCAGATCAGTGGGGGCTAGAGGAGGCAGCTCCAGCTGAATGCTGAAGCATCAATTTGAGGGTCAACACCATGAGATCCAGGGCCTGGGGAAGGATTAAAGGCCAAGGGACACAGAGCACAACCACTCAAATATGAGTTGCACAGTAAGATGTTTAATTCTGTAAGCCAGGAAAACACCACCAGAACAAAACTCTCCCTCAGCACAGAGTAAACATTTATTTAACCCATGCCAAACACACATAACACTGCCAGGATGGGCTTGGGTTCTCCCAGGTACAGCAGCTCCCAGGTGTGAGGGTTAAACGTGGCAGCCAATGCAAGGAAAAATTTATGTAGGAGCCATCACTGGAGTGACACTTTATTATAGCTATAAAAAGGCTCTCTATTGATTTTTATGAGATTATAGACCTTCTCCTACCCTAGAAATCCTTCCCCCCTTGCCAGAACAAGGGCTGCTGGACAATAAATGTCCCCTCATCAGTAATGCTCAGCCTGGATAAACAGCTTGTCTTGTTCTATTTGCACCTTGAACAAAAAGCATCATAGCAGCACTTAACAGATGAACACACATTGATCCAGCCAGAGCACGGCAAAAGCTTTACTGAAACTGAGCTCTTGGTCCTCACTTGAATTCTGCCCCACAGCTGTACCTGCACATCCCTAAAACAAACCTCCTTCCTTTCAGTCCATTCCTATGGAGCAGAACTTTGGAGCTCCTGAGGGGGCTCAAAAAGCAGCTGGATCCTCTGGACATATTGAAAAACACAGCAAACTCCAGTGGATTAGTGCAGCAGCCCCCTCAGCCTGAGCACTTTCCCTGCTGTATTTCTATTGCTGTGTTTTTGCTGCTGTATTTCTATTGCTATATTTCTGTAGCTGTATTTCTGTTTTCACAGAGCATCCCAAGCTCAGGCACTGAAGACGCTCTGCTGCAGGCTCAGGAGTAGCTGCTCTCCCTGGCCAGTCTCAACACATCCCAGGAATTCTGATGCTGATGTCTCCCATTTGAACAACATTAAGTTCTCTGCCTTCTGCCAAGGGTTGTTTACAGATCATTTCTATCTCCAATAACATCATACACTGCAATATAACATCCAGGGAGATAATCTGTTTTTAAGGATGTGCAATTACTCCTCCGTCATTAGCTTTCTAGCTCAGGCCAGACAAGTTGGAATGGTGCTTTTTTTTTATTCTCTTTACCATGTTTTAATAAAAGTTTTAGCAAAACCAGATCTGTGTATGAAATGACCAGCTCTGTTGTAAAATCATTTATTTTCCAAAACCAAACGTTTATCCCAGATCAATACTTGCCTTTTTTCTCCTCTTTTTTTCAGACTGCATAATGTAAGCACTGCATCCAGTAAACAGACAATTAATTTTAAGATTGTTCAAGAAACAAGCAAAAAGAAAAAAAATCAATACAAAACTCTGGTTGTATTGAAAAGTGAATTCATCACATTATGACCCCACATCATGAAGAGCTTGTATTCTGCACAAAGAAATGTGTACACGGACACCTTGCTGACAGCTGGCTAAAAAATAATAAAAATCTCTTTTCATGGGCAGAAAGTTCCACTAAATGACAGTCACTGGTCTGAAAAAGGAATTATTATAACTATACAGTTATATATAGTCAATATAATATATGTATATAGTTAATATAATAGATATAGTTATATATAGTTAATATATGTATATAGTTAATATAATAGATATAGTTATATATAGTTAATATAATATATATAGATAGTTAATATAACTATAAAAGGAGTTATTATGAAATGCAAAATAAAGGCTCCCAAATTCTGCTAGACAAGCCTGAAGGCTGGAATACATTCTTTAGGAGCAAAAAATAAAGACACCTTCAAATTACCCAAGGAATGCTGGGGCTGCTGACTGTATTTCCTGCCCACGATTAAACTCAGGGTGCAGTCAGTAAAATGCCCCGAGTGATGCTGTCCCAGCTTTGTGCCCTGGTTCTGTGCTGGGTCCCAGGAGCTGCCCCGTGCCTGCACTGACCTTGCAGAGGAAGCTGATGTTGAAGCCCAGGGACTGCGCGTTCCTGGAGCCAGAGTTCATGTAGTTGCCCAGGAACAGCACCAGCTCCAGCAGCTTGCTGAAGCTCTCGCTCTTCTTGAGCTCCTCGCAGGCCAGGGTGACAGCCATGATGTCGGGCTTGATGTTGTTGACGTGCTCCTCGAACATGAGGCGGAACAGGATCCCGTTGAGCCGCGCGCGCAGCATCTTCACCGAGCTCATCTGCAAAACACACCAAACTCTGGCTGAGAGGGAAGCTCAAATCACCAACGGCTCAAAATGCTCAATTTCTCACTGTTAGAATGCAGCACTGTCACAGACATGTTTTCTGAAAAATAATTTCCTTAGGATTTTCCCTCCTGAGAAGCTGGGAGGCCTCAGGAACAAAATGCAAACAATGGTTATCTGCTGCTGTGAGATGCAACAGGTGCATCTGGGATTGGTCTCATGTGGTTGTTTCTAATTAATGGCCAATCACAGTCAGCTGGCTCACAGTCTGTCCAAGTCACAAACCCTTATCATTCCTTCTTTTTCTACTCTTAGCCTTCTGACGAAATCCTTTCTTCTATTCTCTTAGTATAGTTTTAATGCAATATATATCATAAAATAATAAATCAAGCCTTGTGAAACATGGAGTCAGATCCTCGTCTCTTCCCTCATCCCCAGACCCCAGTGAACACGGTCACACAGCACCAGCCAGCAAGCCAAGAGCTTCCCTGTGTGTTTGCACTGCCTGCCTTGTGTTTCCAGCACCCCAGGATCCCTCTGTGCACCTCCCTCCGTGTTTCTGACATTTGGCAAAACAGAGCACAGCACTCATCCCTTCCTGCTCTGGTAAAAAGATGGGAGGATATAAATCCTGACAAGGAGGTTACAATCCTGATGTTGTAACACAGCAGATACTGACAATAATCTACAATGCTGATTCATTAATTTAAATCCCCAAGACCAAATTCACCAGCCCAGGTCACAAAATATCTTTCATATTTTGCACGAGTGATCAGAGTTATTTCCTCCCACTTAGCACACCATAATCCACAAGAGAAATTTAAATTAAGGAAAAAAGATGTACTGAGCATTGTTAAACCACTTGATATTTTTAATTTAATTGCAAGAATGGTTATGTTCCAAATCATGTTCCAAATCTAGCTCATCTTACTTAGCAGAACACAGAAAGATTTCTTCCCCAGTGTATTCACCATCAGGGGTGTTACTGAAGCCAGAGAAGCTTTGCTATGTCACAAATCACAGATCTTGACTGGCAAAACAGGAAGATTTCGATGTGCTCCTGTTTCTGTTGGCCAAAATTTGGCCATGGTCTTTTGAAGAACTGTGATTTTTCTGCCAGTGCTATCTCCCAGCAGGCAGCAGAAGCAATAACTTTCACAGGAAGGACTTGAGTGGCCTGAATAATAATGAATTCATTCTAAAATGAACATAAACATGAAGGCTCCAGATGGTCTCAAACAATTCCTATGATCAGGCTGGAACAAGGAAAAGGAAAGGATCAGAAAAGAAGCATCTCAGCAGAACTAGTGATCTTTTTTTATAAATCTCCATTGTCACAAATTTCTCTCTGAGCCTCTATAAGCCAAAATCATTGAAAGTCTTGAAACATTATTCTTCTAATCATCCTGTATTTCAGAAATATCACACTGAAAACATCTGCCTTGAAAGGATCTACTTACACTAATCTGCAGTAGATGGAAATTAAAATTAATCACATAATTTGCTTTAACTTTTGTAGAACAATCTCCAATTGCTGTTTTTACTCAAAATGGCACAGAAAAAAAAATTGTTCAAAGCTTTAGATCCTAAAACCAGAGTGCAACAAAGTACAAGCCCACAGGAGAGTGTGACATAAACATCAGTGAAGAATAATCCTTAAACTTGAGAGGAGTGTCCTTTCTTCTTTAATCCTGTGTAGTGTCATGGAACACTGATCATTCATTAGCTTCTGACCACCAACCCAGCAGGAAGTTTTAAAATATTATGCAGGTCAGGGAATGGAATTAAAACTATCTTGGTAATTTCCCAAGAGCTGTTTTCATGTGGGTTTTTCCTCAAGCCCAGAACATTTTTATACACAAAATGCCCTTTAGGTATCAGCAGAAGATGGCCATAAATGATATTTTAGTTCCTCCTTTTTGGGCCTGTTTCTAAATGCACATGTTCAGTGCCAGAGAAAGAGTGATCAGGTGCTGAATTTGGAGCAATCTCCTAGAATTAGGTAAGGAGCAAAGCCTACATTCACTTGGAAAGCTCAAATTCTTTATGGCTCTAAATAAAATTAGTGTCAAAGGCATATATATATCTATATATATAAATATAAGAAATGAAATATTCCAACAGGTGCATGGAACAGCAAGCAATGGCTCCCCCTACAAACAGTTAAAGAGGCAAGAACACCAAGAAAATGGATATTTCTTTTCCAGCTGCCTGTCAGTGATGGGCTGCATGTCATTATTTCCCCTTCTGGGCTCTCATAAAGGCCTTGTCTGAACTCTCTACCTAATCAAGTTCTTTATGCTTTATTATCATCATTCAATTCTCAAGCCCTGTATTAAAACGAGGATCAAAGGCTACTGGAGAAAGGCAAAAAGCACAATTAAATTTGCCTCACTTCCTAAGAAAAAGCTGACATTCCTCTAATAAAAATTTGTCAACTTACTAAGACAACTTAGCCTCTTACCTATGTTACATTAAAGTTGCCTTTTTTTTCCCCCTGGAAACATTCTAGGAAGATTAATTCTGCAGCAGCTCACAAAATTACAATGAGGCCAAACAAGCAGCCAATAAATTCAATTTAAAGGACTGAATGGCTCCAAACCAATGGAGGTGCAATGAAGTTGTACAATTCTCAATTCACTTTGTCAGCCAGGACTGGTTACACAGGAAAAAAGGGTCACAGAAAATGCAAGTTTACACAACCCCCCAGTCAAATTTAGGCTTTTGTAACACTAAAAATGTTCAACTGGCACTGAAGTGGAAATTCAGCTCCCCACTGAAGCTGCAGCTGTTCCCATATCATAACAAATGAACTCTTGAAGGTTTAGGTGCAGAACTCAGGTAACATCCTGCCCAGCTGAGTCCAAGTTACACAGCTGATCCAGTAATTTTTCTATTTTTTTATTTTTTAATTTTTTCTATTTTTTTTTTTTTTTTTTTTAAATTCTAACTTTTTTTCTGTTTTTCTTGCTCTACTTCAACATCAATGCAAACTTTCCTTTAGAGGAACTTGTGATGCCTTTTTTGATCCCAGGATATAACTTCAAAAAGTTCCAATAACTAATTAGAATATATAATTGGTTTTAACATTCATCTAAATGAAAATGCAGCTCTAATTTTCATTTACATATCAGCTGAATATTAAGTTAATCGGTTCCTTCAAGTAAGTTAATCTTTTACTAAGTATGGCTTTTCTACAAAAATTTTAAGCAACTTATTCCAACCTTTATTAAATTTGATGGGCAAAGTGATTATCCAATTAACATATCTTAATAATTAACATACCTAAAGTTACATAAAAATAAGGGGACACACTTTGTAGTCTGTCTTCTATTCTTAAAGCCAAGGTTAAGATTATTATTAATGAGAACTTGCAAAATTAATTTGACACATTGGAAAAAAGAACTTCAGCCAAGACTTGAGGTTCAGCAGCATTTCTTGCACTTTAAGGGACAGTTGCAGGATAAAATAATCAGAAAGAAATTCTGCATTTTAGCACCAGTGATGAGTTAGAGGCCTCCAGAAATCAGACAGAAGCAGGACCCATAAGGCAAAGTGCTGCTTTTTATTAAAGCAGATGGTAAAGCTGAATAAGCAAACAAGCTTCAGGAAACTTGGTTCCTTCATAAGGCAAACAGCACCATTTGGAGATGTTTGATTAAGCAGTTTTTGCTAATTAACGTTGCATTAAATACTTGGAAACTCTCTCAACTTGCTCTAGTCAGTGTTTCCTCAGAAATCACGGAACAGTGACTGTGGCCACACTGGGACTGCTGGGAATAATGGGATTTTTGTGTTTTTTTCAATATCCAGAGCCAGGCCAGCTGGAACCCTGACCTGGAGGAGCCCCAGACATGGAGAGCAGCATCCTCACCCAGAAATATCAGCTGAGACAGGGCAGGGGATGTCAGCATCCATCCTCACCCAGAAATATCAGCTGAGACAGGGCAGGGGATGTCAGCATCCATCCTCACCCAGAAATACCAGCTGAGACAGGGCAGGGGATGTCAGCATCCATCCTCACCCAGAAATACCAGCTGAGACAGGGCAGGGGATGTTTGTAAAGGGAATTTGTGTCAGGAGAAGGAAACAGGGCAGGAGATGATCCAAGTTAAGAGATCAGGGTGAAGCACTGAGGAATTTACAGCAGGAAAACAGTGGAATGCCTACACAGCCCTTTCAATCAAGGTCATTATGATGCACAATTTTCCAATTTCTTGGCTGATTTTAAGCAGGAAACTGAACAGATTTCCCAAACATCAGAGGCTTCCTTTGTCCTAACACCTCCAGCTTGCCTGCTCCCATTGAGCATTTCCCTTCAACACACTCCACAAAACTGCACAAAACCCTGCACGAAACTCAAGGAATTCCTCACTTTATCTGACAATATCTAGGTAGAGAGGAATATACCCATAAATAGATGTATATATAAAATAATCTATAATATATGCATATATTACAATATAGATACTCATAGATAAGTTTTGGTCTGTCTAAAGACATAATACACATATTTTAAATATAAATGCATGCTATTATTGCTTCTAAGAAAGCAGCAAATATGTATTTATAGAGATTTTTAGATTGTTACTGATCAATAAACGGCAATGTTTTACCTCTTGTAGTAAGGTTAATTAATGTATCCCACTTCTACCAAAATTCCTCATCCTTGTTTGGAAATAAAAGATTTTTGCAACTTGATGCCATTTATTAAAAGAAAAGGAAATCAATAGGCTAAAGTTTTTCAAAAGAAGTCATTGATATCTTTCATTTCCTAAATCCTCTCCAAAAATCTCATTAGGACAAATCATTCTGTTACTTCGCCAACTGAAAAATAATTAAAAAAAAAAAAAGCACTCAAAAGCCACTTCTGCAGCCACATTATGCTCAAATCAGAGCTTTTTAGTAAAAAAGTCTTCTAAGAGGGCCTCTATTTCTGTTTTAATGCATTTTAATGTACATAATGCCTTAAAAATCCAGCAAGAGCAAGCGCAGCTCCTGCGGAGCTGGGGATAAATCCTGAGCACGTTCCAGAGCTCTCATCATCATTTTAATCTGCTGGGCTGAGAGGGGAAGGGAAACCAGGAGCTCATTTGCCTAAGGACTCCTGAGGTCCTTGGAAAGCCAGGAGCAGAAAGAGATTCCCAAGGGTGGCACAGAAATCAGGGTCCCACCCTCACCCCCCAGCATGGATTAAAGAGTTCCTGAAAATGCTGGAATTCCCAAAAATGCTGGAACTCCCGAAAATGCTGGAACTCCCAAAAATGCTGGAATTCCCAAAAATGCCAGAACTCCCAAAAATGCTGGAACTCCCTCCCAGAGGGGCCCCAGCCATTCTGGCAGCCCTGCTCCTGAACAGATCCAGGGACTGAGAGGAGCAGTGTCTGCCACATCTGTATCTTGCAGATCTCAAGGTGCCAAAATACAGATGCGGTATTTAAAATACTTATGATTGAATAATAGTTTATTTTAAGAAATACTCAGTAAAAGTGGAGATTTGCATTTAATATATAATATTTTTAAAACAATGCATTGAAATATTGCATTTTGAAAAGGGCAAAGTGCATTGAGAGGAGCAGAACACAAGCTACAATTTCAGTTCTGGTGTAAATTCACACCTCTCCTTGAGCCATTCTGCAAGGTTGGGTGGTATGAATACAGATGTTTGGTATGGGTATGCATACATACATAGAAAATATGGATATACATACATATAAAATATGGATATTTTAACTCTTTTAGCTGCTTACAGGTTTTGATATAAAACAAATTTATCAGAGTTGTCAAGGCCAAGGGGTAACTGCGTCTCCTGCAGGCTCCTGGAATTTATCTGCTTGAAGGCAGAGGGTTCTCCAGAACTGTTCAATAAACATTCAAGGCAAGACAGGCAGACAAAAGATTTGGTGTGTTACCTGAGTGCCTGTTGTTTTTAATGCTATACTGTAATTCCTCCCAGAAAAATAGCCAGAATCAGAGTGGCTCACGTTGGAAATGACCCTAAGGATGATCTGGCTGGTCACAGCCCTGCCCAGGCTGGCCCAATACACATTAAGATATTTTTTGATTATTACTTAGCAGGAAATAGTAACTTTTCCTATGGCAGGTCTTGCAAAAACACTAAAAGAAGATTTTTATGCTTAAACTTGTTTCTTTTTATGTGCCAAAATGGAGCTCTGTTGACCGATACATACCACAACTCCAAACTGCTCTGGCTCAGCAAGGTCGTTGTATTCATCCTTTAATTCAGCTAAGGCATTGAGCTCCTTCTGCTCAGGAAGATTCTTCACCAGGTTCTAAAACAAACAAGGCATTATATCAAATTTGTTACATTAAACTACCTAAGGTATTAAAAATAACACGCTCAAAATACCACAACATGGAAATGCACGAGGAAATTACGGGACGTTTATTTTATTTACGCAGCTCTAACTTTATATAAACATCAAATCAAAGCAGCAATTATTTAATACAGACATCAACTGCTCTGCTGCAGTCTCTGATTTGAGGAATGTATTTAAAGGTTAGAGTATCATTTCTCAGGGCCTGACAGCATCAACGAGTTTTGTCTCTACAATCTCCCTTTGCCCTAATGGTTGCATCTTGCTCATTAAATATCAATCAAGAAATAACTGGTCTGTGTAAAACATGACAGAAGCAGCAAAAAAAAAAAAAAATTAAAATCATTAGACATTCAAAGTACACTTAAAAATACCTTATAAAAAAGGTCAACAACCCAGAATTGTACAGATCTTATAGATGGCAAATATACAAGAATTCAGGGAAAAGTTCAATTTGCTTGCAGTGTTATTCACGTCCCCAATAGAAAATGTGAGTTATTGTATGATCTTAAGGTGTCAAAATACAGATGTGGTAAGTATTTAAAATACTTATATTAAGACTGAATAATAGTTTATTTTAAGAAATACTCAGTAAAAGTGTAGATTTGCATTTAATTTATAATATTTTCAAAACAATGCATTAAAATATTACATTTTTTAGAGTGTAAATTGCATGTAATACATAATATTTTCATATATATACAAGTTGAAATCCAAACAGTAAAATGTTTGTAGTAGAGGAGATCAATATGAAACTGCTCTGCATTTCAGCTATCCCAGGTGGGGTTGGTTCCTCCCCCTTGATTTTTGATTTTACTAAACCTGAAGGTTTCCTAATCATCTGATCTGCCATCTCTGCTCAATAAACCAAGTCCTCAATAAAATTAGGGCTTTGCACCTATTTTCAAATACTGAGGCAGCTCAGTTTAGACCAGAGTTCCCAGAATAACCATTCTGCAGGTCCAAGAAAGGAAGAAGAAATTAATTTAGAAAACCTTGGGGGAATGAGGCAAAGGTGCAAACAGGAGACAGGGAAGGATGAAAGGATAAATCCAGGCCCAGTGAGGGAGCAGGAATCTGTGGATGATGTTAAATAAAGCCACAGCAGCATTGCTGGGTGCTAAATCTCGGTGATTTTTAGTGTTTCCCTGTTCCCTGCTGTTTCGTCCGTCCTCAGAGAGCAGGAGGGGCCACGGGCACTCCTGCTCTCCTCCTGGAGGGAGGGAATCGGAGAGGGATGTGCAGAAATTGAATTCCATCCTCTCCACTCTCCAGCTGAGAGATTTGGGGCTCCAAATGAGACCGAACCAGCCTGAGAGCAGATTTACAGATGGGTTTGGAGCTGCAGCAGGATCCTGAAAGGTTCAGGGAGTTTCACCTCTCACCAGAGACTGGCAGAGCCGTTCCCACAAGGAACCTCCTGAAACTTCATTATGCACCTGCCTGGATCTTCATCAGCTTCTCTTCCAAGCTGAAACACCAGAATTCTCAAAGATTTCCTCTGGGGAGGGGAAATCCCAAGGAATTCTTTTGTTAACAGGGTCTCTGAAAGGCAGTTTCACATGGGACCATTTTCAGAAGCAGAATGAAATCAATGGGACAGGAAACACAAGTGATACCCTGCAGCTGATGCCCTGTCCTGCTCTTGAATTCTTACTCCTGCCTGCCATTTTCACATGGAAAATGAGCTATAACCAAAAGCAGAGGCATTTTCACATACCTGGATCAGGGATTCACTCAGCTTCTCCTCATCCACCTCTAAAATGATATTTTTTATTTCTTCGTAAGGCAAACGGAAGGAACCCAAAAATATTGCTGAAATTCAGTAACACATCATCAGAATCAAAAAGGTCAAAAAAGATTGAAAGACAAAGGCAAACTATTGCTAGCAACTCAAAAAGTCACATCTCCATCTAAATTGTTCCACAGTTAAGTCTCCCATATAAACAAATGCTAGGTAGGCACACTGCTGCACTTTGACTTATAATGGATTTCCTTTCAAAGAAATGAAACTATAACAACAATTTTAACTTTGAAATCAGCCTCAGCTTCTCCCTAGCAATGCTACTTTCCAATGAAGTTTCATCTTTATGAATGACATCTGAATTCCTACTTAAGCAGAACTACTCAGCCAATAATAGATATCTTTAGCTATTATTATTGGTTCTATAACCATGTATGAGTAGCTGTACAATTGGGTCAATGATATTGATGTGAGATCCTAGAAAAGATTTCACATCAAAGTGGTAACGAAGAGCTGGGCAAAGTAAGAAAAACGCCCAAACTCTACCACTTTTAGGGTAGCTGAACTTCTACAGGAGACACACAATTCAAACCCTTCAAAGATGGAGCTCTCAAAGCAATTTGATCTCAGAATGTTATAAAACCTCAAGAGAGCCCCATTCAGTAAACTACAAAGAATTCTTAACAGATGGATCAGCATAACATTGTGACAAAATGCTTTATGTTCAGCCTAACTAGTGTGGCTGATTATCCTGCATCCAAGCTTTCAAAATTTGAAGTTTTCCATCAATTGTGAACTCTTCTATCATAGCTCATTTTCTGCTCATGGATGTGGGACTAAACGATGCCCACATTTGGGTTTATACACTTATTGCCATGGGCACAGTTGGACCAGTGACATTTATGGTGTTTCTGATTCAGATAAAGGACACCACTACTGTTAATGATTGATTTCCCTGCATAATCAAGAGGAAAGAAGTGGGCTGGTTTTGCTCCCATCTGCAGCAGTAGTACCTGCACCTCTGTAGCCTATTTGGTAATCTGGTAATCCACCTTGCCTTGAACCTCCATTTCTGCATTGCTCTGACCAAAGGAACAATCTGGAATGGCCCCTAAACCCCAAACCCCACAAACACCACCCACGCCATGCTCTGCCCAAATCAGTGATCATTTAATTGCACTTCCAGTCCTGAGCAGTTAATTTTGCCAGTTAATTGAGAGAATTAACTGACAAAAACCCCAGGAACTCATTAAATCATTTTTCCCTGTTACTTTTTTTCATCTTTCCCAAGTTATGCAGTGAATTCAGAATGTGTATTTAAACACCACAGAATTTAAGACTCGTGTTCAAATTAGCAGATTTTGGAGAAAGTAATTGCACACGCAAACAAAAAAAGCCAATTTATGAACACTGAGGTGTAGATGCTGCTTAGACATTGACCTGATGTCCTTCACATCACTTACATAAGTTTTGTGCAGATTTTCCATCCAAAACTCTTAATTCTTTGATCTTCTTCTTTGACTGAGCTGCTTTCTTTTCTTCTGATTCTTCTACAGGCTTTTTGGCTGGAAAGAAGGTATTTATTAAATTCTATTCATTATTACAACAGTTCCATCTTAGCTAACAGCAAGTCCATTAGCAAGCCATAATAATACATCTTTCACAATCAGTTCAAGGCAAAGTGACTGCACTGCCTCCACCTGCTGTAAAATATCCAAACAAACAAAGCAAATGTCCAAAATGGAAAGGAACAAGAAATAAAAATACGACAATGAACAATTTTCCTGAGCAAATAATATTTATGTATTTTAACCCCGTGGAATTTCAGTTCAGCTCCAATTCATTGCAAGCATTTTTAAAAAACCAGGGATTTATTACCTCGAAGCACGTGAGTGCCCTCTATTGAAACATTAATAACATTTATAAGTTCTTCATCCAAAACCAACAACATAAATAATTTGAAATTTATCACACTGAACAAAGGTATGTTTTCATTAATTATGCTGTCAGTGGTAAAGAGCAAAACTTAGAAAACAGGGTATATTTTAGAGTGATTCCTTTTAAATTAGCAAGATTCACTAGTCTTTATATTCAGCACTTTAAATTATAAGGAAAGAAATGTGGCATTGGAGTACCTCAAATATAAGCTGATTTTTTGCACAATTTAAAACAGTCAATTTTTGCAGAATTTTCTTAAGCATTAAGTAAACCCATTAACAAGGATTTATTTCCTTTTAAATATCGCATAACATATTTGGCACTGAAGGAATAGAATCTTAATGTGCTTAACATTAATTGAACTTAATGAATATTTTAAGTCATTCAAAAGTAACTGAAAAACTGGAAAGTCAAATTAAGATGAAGTTTCGAGCAGACTGAATACAGTTTTGTTCTCTGAGCACTATTTTTTGTTGCACTGTAAGGAGCCATTGTGGGTTTAATTACAGGTATTTCCTAAGGAAAAAAATGTTAATTTTTAGTGAAGAATAGCATAAAACCAGTTTCAATCTTTTTAATAAAAAAATAAAAGAATGTAGAAACCAGGTATTTGTCTCCTCACACCCATTGCCAGCAGGAAAACATCTGGCACAAAGGAATTCTGCTGGGTTTATAGCTCTGAAAAATCAGTTTATCTTGGCCATGTTTGTGCCAGCACCATCTGAGCCAGTCCAGGCAGTGCCCTCAGCCCCAGCTACCTCCAAAGAGCCTAAATCAGAGAAAAATGAACAAAAAGATGATTCAACAACCAAGCCCTGAGCCCCCATCCCAGACAAGCCCAGCGTCCCCCAGCTGCAATGAGCTCCTTCCAAAACCCTAAAGTGACACTTCAGCAAGTAATCAGGCCCTCAGCACTAATTGTGCTCAATTAAACAAGGCAATGAGACCAGGCGCTCAACAACACAAACAAAAAACCACCCAAGAGTTAAAAATGAGCTGTCCCATGGGCAGGCAACAAACTTCATTACAAGCTCTGTTCCGTCACAGCAGAGAGAAGGCCTGGCCTTGTGTGACCCAAGAAGAGGAGTGTCCTACTGCAGATCTCATCTGTCCAAGAGTTAAACTCTCCAGATCTCCAAGGATCGAGTCTTTAAAGCTCTGAACACCACAAACAGGTCCCAGACTGTCTCAGGAGCTGGGAGCACCAAAGTCAAACCTGCATGAAACGCACACCCAGCACCTTGGCTTGCAGACTGCAGAACAAGAGTAATAAATGTTTTTGTTACCAAATATCACCTCACAGAAAGGAAACTTTCTTCCTACAGTGGTAATTCACACAAGAAAAGAAATTCTCAATTCTCACACAATTCTCAAAAAAAAACAAGTGACAAACACCCCATGAGCAAGAGTTCAAGGGCAGAGGTGCTACACCAGCCCAGTGCAGGACAGGTATTTAAGTTATTCAGCTGCTCCAGTAGCAAAAAAGGAAAAGTGGTTTGGGGTTTAAACACATAATATTTGATAAACAGACACACAGATGGTGAGCTGAGGCAGAATTCACAACAGCAACTCTGCCTGTACAGGGCACAGGAGGAGTTCCCCTTATCACCCCTCCTCACCTGTGTGCAGGTGCACTCCTCTGCTGGCTGTAAAATCAGGAACTGCATTTAAACCACAGCACATCACACATTCACAGCAAACCAGGGCTACTCTGACCCACTCAGGCCTGAAGGGCTGCAACACCACTGCTTATAGAGCATCCATTTAACAAATATCAGATGTCTAAGGTTAAAGTAAAATTTTTCTACTTGAAAAAGGCCAGAAGAAATGTTCTTTTAAAAAAGTTGTATCTTTCAAAGTTCATGCCAATTCACAAAAAACAGAGAAACACTAGAACCAGATGCTTTTGTGACTGCACTAAGGCCACAATACAGCATCAACACCAATCACAGCAAGCCCAAATTCACAGGCAGAAAGAGACACAACTAAAATTTCTACATGAGACACCTCCTAGAATCTCTCCACCACCATTTCAGTCACGCTTGAGATGACATGGAGCATCAGAAGCTCTGCTCACACAATCCATCTCAGCAGTGATTCAACTGTCACACAACCATGGATTGTGGAATTTGGAAAAATAATTAACTCAATTAAAAAGAGACTTGATACTTTCCAGAACCCAATGCACCAGCGCTGACCAACCTGCCAGCCCTTGTCAGGCTCTCCTTTCACAAGTGCCTGCTCAAAGATAAGACACTTCTTGGTTTGATGCCACAGAACCAAAGGGAGAGATGAAAGAAGGATTTTACAGCAGCCAGCACAGGGCAGCTCAGAAAAGCAAGATGAAAAATCAATGTGGAAGCTGAAGCAGCTGTATTACTTCATAGAGACCGTGGAGTTGAGGGCTGTGGTTGTTCATTACAGCACTTTGATAATGGTGCTGCCTCACATCCACATTCAAACTCTGCTTCTTTCCAAAGCAAGTCCCACAGACAGCACCAGAGCTGGTGCTGCCATAGCCAGGTTTCCATGGCAGGAATGGCCAGGGTTTAAAACCAAAGGTGCAGCAGAAGGGAATGTTCTTTTCTGAGCTGTGCTGATGAAGCAATAGAGCCCTGAAAGAACGGGTCTGGAGCAGTGAGTGTGTCCTGGGGAGTGCTGAGCTGCTCATGCACAGTTACCTCACGCCATTAGAGCTGTACAAGGCTTTGGGAGGGCTTTTCTTTATACCTGACCTCAGACAGACAGAAGAGGGACAGGGACATTGTCATTGCAGAGCTCCCATACCTTCTCGGTGATTTCCTATGGGCATCTCCTCACAGCCAACAAACTGCATCTCCCTTCCCAGCACAGCCAACAAACCCCAACAAACTCTCTCCTCACCCAGTTCACCCACTCTCTTGTAGTGCTCTTCTCCTTATTGGACACAGCTGTGGCCTGTTAAGGGCAGCCTGTTCCTAATCTTTGGTGATTGGTACAGCTGCACTCCTCAGGTGTGAGGGTTCCTTCTGCAGCATCTTTATTTCCTTACATTCTGTCCCTGCACACAGGGAAGGACAGGCACCATGACAAAGCCAGAGCAGAGCCCAGGCCCTTCAGCACACACAGATTCCTTCTGGAGACCAGCAGACACAGATGGAAACACCAGCACTGCAGAACTCACTTTTTCCTAATTTAGAGTTCTAATTATTTAGCAATAATACATTTGTTTATCAGTGTTGGAGGGGAAAAAGCTGATGCAAGAAGCTGCAAGGCATTGTTTGCTGTTGATCTGACATTTCCCAGAGCATGGGCAGCTCCAGCTGTGCCTTCAGCTGGGAACTCCTCTAATCCCACTGCAAGTGCCCTGCTTGAAACCCTGCAAACCCTGCAAGGGCATAGAAACCCTAAACAAAACCTTAGGTAAGCTTAAAACACATTGAGCAGGGCTAATGATAATCATGGCAAAGAACATACATAAACAGGTTGAAATACTTTGGAGACTTCATTAGGAAAAAATCCTACCATCAGTACTTTTGTACTTCTGTAGGGAAAAAAAAGAAAGCATACATTATTCTTGAAAATTATCATTTTACACCTGTTCATTAATTTAGCTACTGAATAGCATTTGAAGTGGCCATGACTAATTTTTTGAAATATATATGATTTTATTTAATGATATTGAAGCTGTTAAAGCGTTTTATTATGAGCTGAAATGTCCAGTTCATATGAAATTCTCTTCTTTCTTTAAATTATCAATGAATGATTTTAATAAAGAATTAACAGCAAAAACTGTCAGTCATGAATACGATGAGGATGAAAATTAAAAGGAGCTAAAAAGGAGTACATAGAATTACAGCATGGAGAAAGCAGATATTCAGGTGAACTTTAGCCTACCTTAACATGAACCTAAGTCTCCAATTTCCGTCAAGTCTGTTCACACAGTGAACAAAAACATCCTTATATTGTCATGGGAAATGAACGAGCAATTTCATCTTATTTCCATCTGGCCAGTGGCTTCCCAATTGCATTTACCAGTATTTGGCAGCAGAAGTAAACACACCAAAGAAATTCACTGCTTTGTTATTGTCTCTACCTGAGAGAAGAGCTATGGCTACTACAGGAGTGTGGGAGAAAAAAATTCAGTGTCCATACTGTTGTAAAGACTGTGAACTACACATACAAGAGAAGACTTGAGCAGCTGAAAGTAATAATTACATTGAATTTATCCCACTCGCCAAAAAAAAAAAAAAAAAAAAAAAACTGCTGATGTGATGTGACTTGATAGAAAAATAAAATAAAGAGCTAGGAATGACACCAAAAGATTAGAAAGTAATTCGTAGCACAAAAGTGCAGCAAGTTCTGTTGCGACACAATAAAACTTCTCAGAGTCTGGCTAAATGGATCATCTTGGAATGCTACTGACAGCCTCCCATTCCTGTGCTAGTCCTGGAGGCACTCAGAAATGGAAACAAAAGTCGAATAAAGAGGGAGAAGGAAGGAAGTCAAACACAAATAAGTCTCAAAATTGATGCTGTTTTTTTCCCTCAGCAATACAAATGTGCCCACAGCATTCCCAGCTGGAATCACCCAGGGAATGGGAGCTCAGCTGGGGCACAGCCTGACCCTCCTCCAGCCACCTGCAAGA